TGCCTTAGGGATGGATGGTAGCCAATGGGGGATAGAGCCATGGATAGCCCACGGTTCAAGTAGATTTTTCTGTGATGATGGCAACTTTGTTTTTTTTTTTAATCTGAGCTATTCAAAATAGTAGACACTAACCACATGGGGCTACTGAGCACTTGCAATGTAGCTAGTGCAATGAAGGAACTGAATTTTTAATTGTATTTTGTTTTAATTTTTTTAATGTTTATTTTTGAGAGAGAGAGCGAGAGCGAGCAGGGGAGGGGCTGAGAGAGAGGGAGACACAGAATCTGAAGTAGGTTCCAGGCTCTGAGCTGTCAGCACAGAGCCCGATGCAGGGGTTCAAACACACAAACCACGAGATCATGCTCTGAGACGAAGAGCTTAACCAACTGAACCACCCAGGGGCCCCTTGTTTTAATTAATTTAAATTTAAATAGCCATCTACGTCTAGTGGCTACTGTATAGGCAGTTCCAGAATCCAGACATACTTAAAGGAGCTTATTTCTCAGGAAGTTACTACCAAAAGGCTTAGGTTAGATCAAAACCTGAACATCTGTGATGGTTCATAGAATCCTAGTGGAGAAAAGGATCAAGTGGTTTAGTCCAAGATCTGAAGGAAGGGTATGGCCAGGTAGACTGGAAAGTAGCCTGAATTTTCACAAGTCTGTACTAGAACCTTACAACTTCTGATCTTTAATGGCCCTCAACATGGAGCATGTGTGACCGGAGGCAGTGGGTGGTTTATAGACCCTTGCTGCTCAAAGTGTGGTCCACAGACCAACAGCATTATCATCGTTTAGAAATTTGTTATAAATGCAGAATTGCTGGCTCAGCTCCCAACCTACTGAATCAGAATCTGCATTTTAACAAGATCTCCTATGATTCAAATGCACGTTCAGGTGTGAGAGGCGACTGTTGTTTTTGGAAAGGCTCTGGAGTTGGACACATCTGGGTTCAAATCCCAACTCTGCCACTCACCTGAGCAAGTCTTAGGCCTCAGTTTTCTCACCTGAAAGAAAGAGGCAATACCTCCCATCTCAAGAGGTTATTGTGAAGATTCAGTGAGTCGGTGTATAAAAAGAAAATAGCATGAGGTCTGGTTTATGTTGGATGGTTTATCATTCATTCTTTCATTTATTCAACAAGTCATTACTGACTGCCTGTTATGTTTCAAGCACCCTTCCTGTCCTGAGTTGAAAACCCCCTCCAAGAAAACAACAACAACAAAAACTCAGGAATGAAAAACTTTTTGTTGGGGATGGAAAGGAAAGAAAATCTTCTTCTCCTGCAGTTTTAAGACTAGAACACAGACAACACTTACCTTTATAGGATTCTCAGATCTTTGGGGATCTTTATCGTATTCTTAGAGATCAGGGGGCTTTCTCCACTATTCTCAGACTTTGAAATAAGAGTGGGCATACAGGTCATGGAGAAAAAGAGAAAGGGGAATTAGGCAACTAGGGAAGGTTATTGTTTTACCAATAAATAAAAAGCATTAGCGTTATCTTAAAAATTAAGCAAAACTGTGAACTGCGCACATTTCCTTTTATTAGTTTCCTTAAAAAAGCAGCAGCAGCAGCAGCAGCAATTCTCACTGGAGGTCCCACTGATAGGAAAGGGAATGCAAGGGGTGTTCTTTTCTGGTCCCCAGGCAAAAAGGGTTTCTCACCCAAGCCAGTAGGTGTTAATCTGCTTAAGCCTGCCTGAGTGGGTCTGTTAGATTGCTGGCACACGGCCATTTAGGGGTTTTGTTTCCCAGACCACGGGAGCCCATTTTTCCAAGAGTTCCACTAGCTTTTTGTTTGATAACGTCTATTTCTAGCAGCATTTACTCTTCCAACAACAAATTCAATGAAACAAAAATTTACTGAACACCTACTTTTTGGCAGACCCTCTGTTGGGGATACAGAGATGAATAAGGAACAGTTGCTGTGCTCCAGGAGCTCATACAAAAGTAACTTCTACTCCATTCTCTCAGGTGATGGCTATTATCACTCTGTCTTCCTACTGCTTGGGGAAAAAGAGAAAATCATTTGGCTTCCTGAGCTGCCTCCTTTAAATACCCACTGACCTTGCGGTGCTCTCCTGAGGTCCCAGGGGCTTGAAGGGTTAATTACTTGCTTGCTGTGGCTGGTTCATTGTTCTCCCATACTTCCCACCTCCCTCCAATTCCATCTCCAATTATCAAGCTTGTTTAATATATTTTAATAATGTTTTTCTTTTCATGGAGACAGTACACATTCGTTATAGAAAAATACAGATAAGCAAAGTGAAGAAATGCTTTAAAGCCCTCCTCAACCCCACCACCTAGAGATAACCTGTTTTAATAGAAAGGCTCCCTTAAAAAATTATAACAGTAATATAACTTCATATGAAGTGCAAAATATAGAGGAGTGCAGTCATGCATGATCATTTTGGAATTTTTTCTTTCCAGTCTCCTTGCAGTTACCATAAATGATGCCTAACAGCCTGCTGAAGTCATTATCTCTTTGTATAGGATGTACATGTGCAAACCAGGGAAAGGGGTACTTTTAGCCATACTGATGAATAAGAACACCTATGATTTTATGGAAAAACACACTTAGAAGTCTGCTGTAATTAGCTGAATTTCTGTTGCTATTCAAGCCTTTCATCCCTGGTGACAGGATCTGACCCAAGAAACTTGTCTTTCTTCCCTGGCATCTGAAATGGGACATATAGAAATGTTTGCTCTAAGAAAGTCTCGTATAAGAATACCTGAATTCACGGTGAGGAGTGCATGAATACCGTTAAGAGCCTCCCACGCCCCAGACTCATCTCACTTAACCCTCAAAACACTTCTGCAAGATATGTATTCTCATGCTTGCTTTGCAGTTGATGAGAGAAAGCCTCCTAAAGTATAAGAGGCCCAGCAGGACTTGGAGCCAGAGTGAAGAAGCAATATGGTAGAGAGAATCAAAGCATGGGGCAGACTGGAGTTCAGAGCCCCACCGGCCCCACCCACTGGGACCTCGTGCAAGTTAACATTTGAAATTTCTCTGAACTGGACTTGAGTGAGATGCCACTAGCCTGAAGTGTTGACATAAGGAAGGGTCCTGAGAATCAAGGTTGGAGCCCACTGTAAGGGTGTTGCTGAGGACACCGTTAAGCAGTTCACAGTTGCCTTTTATGGGGGCATCTGAAAGAAATTCTTGTTTGATCATAATTCTAAGCACAGTTTACTCCTGAGCAGTTTGTCTACTATCTTATGGCTCCTGACCTGTCAGGTTTCCCTTGTGGCATTGTTTCCTGGAAAGTCTCTGCGCCAAGTCTAAGGCCCGCCTCTAGGAAGAGTATGCATGTTTAGCCTCGTTCCTTGTTGCACTTTTTGCTCCAATTTTAATTTCCTTGACTCCCCCGTTCACATTATCTTCTTGAATCTTCTGTATTCTTATGCACTCCCTTAAGTTCTTTCAGATTTAACCTTCAGTTTCCTCATCTGTGAAGTAGGCACTATATTTATCTCAAGGTTATCGGTAAAGCACTAAGCACAGTGCCTGGGCTTTATTAAATGCTCAATAAGTCGTGTCCCTTTTTCATGTTCTTGGAATGAACCTTTGTCACTTCGTTAAAAAAAAAGGGGCATTACTTGCATTCCAAAGGATTCTCCCAATTTACGAAAGAGTTCAATACAGAGTTCTTTTAATAATAAACAGCTGTGTTCAAAGTAGGATTGCATTTTCACACACCTTTCAGAGCATCGCTCACTGAATTTCTGCCATGTAATTGGCATAGTGTGGTCCACCAACTCTTTCTTCCACCTGCTCCATGCCAGTGCAGCTACTCACGTGCCATCTGCAAAGTCCTTGGGATGGAAGGGACTGCGGTTTTTAACAAGAACCGCTCTTCTATCTTCCCCCAGGAATGCTGAGATAGAAAAGATCTGCTGTAGAAAACACAAACGGAGCACCATGTTTTACTTCACTTAAGAATGGTTTCCCTTAACCAATTCTTCAGTTTTCCTGCGTCTGCAACGGGGTGTTGAATGGTCTTCCCTCCACCTCCTAAAATAGGCTTAATTATTTCCACTATATCAACATTCTCAAATTTATCAGAAATCAATGAGTATATCACTTAGTGATTTCTTAAATTACCATCTTTATATTCTAACCATTTCATAAAAGTCTTAAGCATCTTGAGGGTTTTGCATTTTGTCAGTTTCTCTTCCCAATCCCCAGCATTTTCAAGGTATCCAATTAAAAAGTAAATTAATGGAATTAGCAATATGTATGGAATAGGTCACCGCTCAGGTCACTGTCTGGTAATCTTCAAAAAGACCTGGGTAGGCAGAGCCCAGTAATCTACTTAGGGCTGCTTAGAGTGGTTTGTTGGCTCCCCAGCACCTGTTTAGTTGAGCGTTGAGAAGTTACTCGGCTGTGCCTCCCTGAGCTTTTGTCCTCTCTCCTTTCCTCCCTCTTTCTCTTTCTACCTTTCCTTTCCCTTTTCTTCCTTTTAAAGTTTTTATTGAAAAATTTTTGGTCACCAGGCTCTGCACTAGTAAGCACTGGGAATCCAATAGTGGACAAAGCAGACAAGGCACCTACCCTCATAGGGCTTCTAGTCTGGAGGAGGGAGGATGGCATTAAATCAATCACATTCATTAATGGGTGTAAGATTACAAATTGTGGTAGGCACCATGAAGGACTATAGTGCAGCAGGGGATCTGACTTAGTCTGGGCTTAAGACACAGGGGGTACTAAGGGAAGAATGAGGTTTCAGACAGCAGTAACAGCATGTGCAAAGGCCCCGGGGTGCTGGGAATCGTGGTTCTCTGGAAAAAAATGAAAGAAAGATCTTGTGTCTGGATCAGAGAACAAAGACAGAGGTGGGGGATGCTTCTTGTGAGGTCAGCAAGGACTGAGACACACGCTTTGTAAAGATTTTGACATTCAGCTTAAAGAGCGTGGGAGGCCACTAAAGTGTTCTAAGAATGGGGCATGGAGGAACTGTGTCAGTGATTTATGCATCTTACTTGGTCTCTGCAGGAGCAATGCAGTCATACACGTGGTCTCTGACCTATACGGTGACAACGGCAGCAGGGTCCCCAGCTGAAAACTCCCAGCAGCTGCCCTGCATGAGGAGTACTCATGTGCCTTCTTCCTCCGTCACACACCGGATACCAGTTTATCCGCACAGAGAGGAGCACGGGTAGGTGACCTTCCTGGAATGCATGCCACCATACTTTTACATTTGGTTTTAAACGGCAGGGTTCACTTGCAGCTGTTTTCTCAAAGGGCAGGAAGAATGGTGCCCGTCGCAAAGATGGCAGTGCGCTCGGCCCTGTAGGGTACTGCGGAGAACCGTCTCTTGCGGTCCCCACAAGGCCAGAGAGGTGGGCATTAGGGAGCCCATTTCACAGATGAGGAAACTGAGACTTGTTCAAGTTCTGTTGCATAGGGTCACACAGCTGGTAAATGCAGGGCCCAGGCTGAGCATCTGTCTGACTCGAGAGCCTGTGTTCTTCCTTCTTTTCTGCTTTAGAGCCTCAGCAGAGAACTCCCTTCCAGCAGTTCCCCCCAGGTGGGAAAGTTTCATGGCGGGGTCCGGGTCTCCTAGGACTGGATTAGAGGAGGACTTCCCCACCCGAGGGCTGAAGGTCCCTGGAGGGTAGCACTTATTAACAGGGTTCAGGAATCCCTGTGTGTTCCAACGGTGTTTTGTGCCACAAAGAAAGAAATCCTTTGTTTTGCCCATTTTCTCCCAAATCCATGTGGTGGTGGTGCTGTGAAGAATAAACTGCAAATCCATTTAAAAGTGTTACCTGGGGGCGCCTGGGTGGCTCGGTCGGTTGGGCGTCTGACTTCGGCTCAGGTCATGATCTCGCGGTCCGTGAGTTCGAGCCCCGCGTCGGGCTCTGGGCTGACAGCTCAGAGCCTGGAGCCTGTTTCGGATTCTGTGTCTTTCTCTCTCTCTGACCCTCCCCACTCATGCTCTGTCTCTCTCTGTCTCAAAAATAAATAAGCGTTAAAAAAAAAAAAATTAAAAGTGTTACCTGAATCATAGTAGCTTCTTGCCATCATGCATTGTCTTCATTAAAAGACACTAATCTCATAACGTCTAATGTGCAGCAATCTGAAAACTACTCATGACGTTAAAAAAAGGGCCCTTATGCTGAAGAAGGTAAGACTCTGCCATGTGGGTGCTGACCAGCAGACCACAGGAAGAGGCCCTCTCAGGTTTCCTCCACACAGTGGCCCATCATCACGCAGCCAGGTGACAACCCCGAGGCTGGACACGGGCATGGCTGTTGGCCTGGGTTCAGGTGCCCTTGACCAGTGAATAGGGCAGCTGTTATTTTCTCAGAGTTTACTTCTCTTAGAGTATCTTCCCACGCATTTAGAATAGACTTTGAAAACTGTTTCAGGAAGCTTTCTGATTCTGGAGCAATGGCAGAATAGACACCCACACGGTCTTATGTCAGCATTTTTGCTGTAAAGATGTTATCGAGAACAGTGATAAGAATATCCCATGTTTTACAGGAATTTCTATTGTATAGATTGTCTTCACATACGTGAACCCCCAGAATAACGAGGGGCAGCGTTTTTACAAATGTGAGAAACAAGGCTGTGGGTAGCCCATGTTCCTACAGCTGGAAAGTGATGGAGCCAGGCTCAGCACGGGAGTCTTTGAGAGCTGGCTGACCGTGCCACGGTGTTTCCCCGCTGGAGAGAGCTCCTCATAACACACGACATCCTTCCCCCTCACAGGCAAGCAAAGGCCTGAACAATACAAAGCATAAATCCCAAAGTAATGTCTTCTTTCTTTCCTGGTTGACTTCGGGCTTTTCCACAGAGCAGGAGTAGAGGTTTCCATCACTAATTATGTTTTGCTCAGAGCTGGCTTTTCATTCCCTAAGCGCTCTCTGGGTGGTAAGGGAGGTGTGCTGGGAGGGAGAGAAGGAAAATCAACTTGGGAGTTTAAACGCACCACAGCAGGGCTGGAGATGGTAAGAACCAAAAAGGAGGAGTAAAATGGAAAATGAGAAAGAAGAACTAAAAGAGAAAGAAAAGATGTGGTTGATTTTTAAAGGTGTCAAAGTGACTTGCTGTCCCTTCCGTGACTCACAATATTCAATGTGCTTACTGCGGTTTAGGTACACGGGGAGCTATAACTATGGGAGCTATGGCAACCAGCATCCTCCCCCAATGCAGAGCCAGTACCCGGCCCTCCCCCACGACACAGCCATCTCTGGACCGCTGCACTACTCCCCTTACCACAGGAGCTCTGCACAGGTGAGTGGGCGGCCTGCTTCTTTGTCCAGGCCTTGGTATGCTTGGTGGCCGGTCTAGTCAACTTAACATAGTTAATTAGTACCTTCTGGATACTGTGTGCAGCCTGGGTGTCACCAAGGAGAGGATGGTCTTCTCCTAAGGGGCACCCCCATCCTTCAGCAACTGCCCACAGTGGGTGCTCAGCCAGCAGTCATCTCCACTCTCTCTCACGCACGTGGGTGCGCACCAGTGGTCTTTGGTTCCACCCTCACTTTGGCCTCTCTAATCCCAGAATCCGGTCAGCCGCGATGTCTGCTGCCCTTTCTCAGGCAGCCCCCCTCACATGGGATCTTTTGTCTCCCAGCCTCCCGGTGCTGGCCCTCATCGAGTCCTGTCAGGACTATTACCTCAGTGTCATTGTAACTAGTCCCCGGGTCTCACGTCTGCTCCTTTCCAGTCTAGTCCACACGTACAACCTCACCAGAAGAATCCTCCTAAAATGGGCCCTTTATCAGATTGTTCTCAGGCCACACATTTCCTTTGGCTCTTCCCTTGTCTAACAAACCATATCAACTCCCTGCAGCCTGTGGTGAATGGAAATTGTGGTTGTACCTATAATGTCAGCGTTGGGTCCTCTACTTGTCTCGGGCACTTCCTGTTGCTCTGGCCTCAAAGGCAGCCGGTCACCAGTTCTATTCAATTCTACATCCTCAAGGTCTCTGAATGCCCCCACTGTCCTTGCCTTAGCTCAGGTCTCACCTAGACTGTGGCAAAATTCTTCCCATCGGTTTCTGTATCACTAAACTTGCACCATTTCTGGTCCATCCTCTATGCTGTAGCTGGAGGAGTCTTTTGGAAAAAAAACTTGACTGGCCATTAACACTCTCCTTCTTTTATGTCATCGCATTCAGAGTCAAGTTCAATTCCTTGGCATGCCTCCTATGACTTGTAACCATCTGGCTTCTGCCTGCCTCTGTGGCCTACCAACCACCCCACCACCATTTGCTCCAGCCTTGCCAACCCATGTGCAATTCGCAGATATTGTTCTCTCAGGCTGGGACTTTCTTCTCCAACCTTCTGCTTGTTGTTCAGGACACCAACCCTTCCTTCTTCCAGGACCTTATGACATACCACTGCTCTAGACTCGCACAGCACCTCTGTTGGTAACCCTCCTCATACCCCAGGCTCTGTGCTGAGCACTTTACACATCGTCATGGCAATCCTTGCAGAAAGGAAGTGAGTGTCACCTGCCTGAGGATTTGAACCCAGGCAGTGTGACCCCTGTGTGTCCAAGCTCTTGCACATGGCTGTCTGCCACGTCTCCTGTGTCGGCATTCACTAAGGGTGTCTTGAACAGATGAGGAGACAGGAAGTGAGGCAACACAAACAAAGGAGTGCAGAGGACATTCGCTCCATCCCGCTGGTGGGGTGGGAGCCCGGGAGGTAAGCCGAGAGCTCTGCTTGAGGAGGGCACTCAGGATAAACTGGAAAGGTGCCCAATGGAGGCAGGGAGCTCTGCTGCAAAGCACTTGCAGACGTCTAGAATAGAGATAGCAGGACTTGAGAGAGGGTGGAGGCCACGATTGCATCAGCTGTCAGCGCACGGATGGGCCTCTCAGGGAAGGCACTGAGGAGAGTGTATCCACAATACATGGCACTCGGGGCAAACAAGCGTCTGTTTTGATTTCCATCTGCAGTACCAAGGGGAGCCCCGGTATAATCCCCAAACAAGCCGAGAAGTTGATTCCACTAAACCATCACCTGGGGCGTTCATTATAGGTCTCCAACTGCGTCACACAGAGAAGCCAGATCCTTAGGTACTGCTTCCCTCGGGAGCAGAGTCTGTGCTCCTCACTGTGATCTGCAAAATGACTCAGAGCTGCTGCCAGAGCCTGGGTCACACTTAACAGCAGTGTAAGCAGATCATGCATGCATTCATACGTTCACTCATTCATTCATTTACTCTTGAATGATGCTTGGGTGCTGACTGCGTGGCAAGCACACTCTAGCCTCTGATAAGGGGCTCTGAGAAGGGGACAGAAGTAGGCCTGCTCTTGGAGAACTTATGTTCCAGTAGGAGACCGTCATCTAAGCAGCAGTGGCGAGGTCAAGCTGAAGTTCCAAGCCACAGGCATTGTGTTCCCTCTTTCTTCCCTCCCTTGTCCATCCTCATGAAATTTCTGGGGTGATATTTTTATTTTTATTTGTTTTAATGTTTATCTATTTTGAAAGGGAGAGTATGTGTGAGCAGGGGAGGGACAGAGAAAGGGGGGAAGGGAGAGAGAGAGCGAGAGTGAGAGAGAGAGAAAGAGAGAGAGAGAGAGAGAGAGAGAATGAATCCCAAGCAGGCTCTGTGCTGTCAGTGCAGAGCCCAATGTGGGGCTCGATCTCATGAGTCATGAGGTCATGACCTGAGCCAAAATCAAGAGTCAGACGTTTAACTGACTGAGCTAACCAGGTGTCCCTGAGGTGCTATTTTTAAAGACATTGCCATGAAAAGAAACCAGGGTCTCCTAAAGGCCCATGTGATCCCTGGTGATCAAAGATAGGTCTTGCAGTCTCCGCTCTGGAAGCCACAACAGTCCCCGAATGGAGCACTATCATTTGATAGCAATTCTTAATCGAAGGGCCAAGGACTAATTGAAAGTCCATGGAAGAAGAGGTGACAGGGTCAATCAGCCTTTTCAGCGTCCCTCCCCCCCCCCACACACACAGTGGCCTTTCAACAAGGTCTTTTGACAACTGCTGACCCCACCATGCATTCACACTCTATGCTTAAAGGGTTGTGCCTTGGCCTCCATTTATACAGCAGGGTGAGAAGTTACTTACATCACCTCTCTACCCAGGTTGATGGGGGTGGGGGATAGTGCTCCTGGAGAAGGTAGGGTGTCTAAAGACAAAGAATCCTTTGCTTTGTTTTTCACTAACATTTATGCATCAAGTTCTGTTTTAGGCACTTTCAAATACACGGACTCAATTCTCATAGCAACCTCAGGAAGAAGGCATTTTTCCTCCAGTTTTTAAAAAGGAGGAAACAGTCTCATAACGTAATTTGCCCCAGCCTATGTATCCAGTAAGTAGCAAAGCAGACTCCCATGCAAATTCTCCAGCTTTGAACCCCAAGCCCGGGGCAATGAACACTGCACCCAGTATGGTTTGGAGGGTAGGACGCAAATTCAAGAAGTTACTCTAACTGTTCTCAGTTTCAAAAGAAGAATCACATACCCTAGACTCACTTTCTTTCCTCTTGTGGTACTTTGGTTTAATGTTGAACAGAGAGGGGAAAAATCCACTGCAGGGCTAATTAGTTTCTTTAGCTTTCCAGAGCAGAGTTCAAGCTGTTCCAGTCCTGAGTAGTGAATATCACACTTCATTGTGTCAGACTCACTGGGGAAAAAGATGAGTCTGAATTGAAGGAAAACCACAGTTACAGAATATTGGTTAAGGAATCCCAAGCGGTCATCAGCACAAGAGTAACTGAAACTAACTTCTGCGAATAAATACCTGTCTTAAAGACGGATACAACACATCTGTGAAGTGCAGTGATTCCATGCGCCCCAGCATTTATAAGCTCAAAATAATCTGAAGTCCTTTGGTTGTTGAAACAGAGTATGTGTGTGCTCTTATTTATACTATTTATTTGCACAACACATGCTTTCCTCTTGGGTAACAACAAAGGTAAACCTCCAGTCCTGCTTGAATTCTAGTAATTTCTGCATTAGTGAGTCCAGGTGAAGGAGGTGTAAGGCTTGAATTATTTCAGAAAAACACCCTTCTTGCAACTACGCTACACTTGCTCACATCAAACTAAGTGAACAAAGAAGGGATGGTCTCAGCTGCCCCTTCCCAGGTGCCCCTTCTTATGCTCGACCAAAAAGAGAAAACAAGCCAGACCAAATACACGGCTACAAAATATTTCTGAGCCTCATTCAACATGCGTTTGTGCAACTTCTACCCTGTCAGCAGCCGTGAATGTGAATTGGGTCCCTGAGCTCAAAAGCCATTTCATCAACGATGGCTAGAAACCCATGTACAGTAGACTAGAAAGCTTTTCTTTGTTCCTCATCTGTATGGCCAAGGCCCAACCTTGCCAGCCAGTCATGTAACTCTTCACCGAATCTCTGGTGGCCCAGCACAGCCCAGGGCCAGTTTGCTTAGGGTGTTCCACTTTGGGATAGCATCTTGAGCCAAAGGGGACAAAAATCAATCAACCGTAGTGGTATAAGATCTGTGACTACAGAGCCAAGCTTCCTGGGTTCAAATCCCCGCTTTGCCTCTAATTAGCTCTGTGCTTCAATTTCCTTATCTAAAAAATGGGGAGAATTATAGTACATATTTCTTAGGGTTGTGAGGGTTAAGTAAGCTGATAAAGGTTAGAACAGGGCCTGGCTCATAGTCAACACTATTTGTGTTTATTATTATTATTATTATCTTTCATAACACCACAGTTATGTTTTGCACGGTATCTATGTCTCTTGCTATACTAGCTAGTAGGTACTCAGTTAAATACTTGTTAATGAAATGAATGAATGAATGGATCCTTGCTCTGGTACTAAGCTGCTGTGTGCCCTCAAACAGATCATTTCCCCCTCTCTTGACTTCAGTTTCCTCATCTGTGAAATGAGAGGTAGGACGAGATGGTCGGCCGCTAAGGCTCTTCCTGTTATTAATGGACCACGATCCTATGAAGCAAAGAAGAAGAATATTAGTAATAGCTAACACATTTGGAAAACTTACTATATGTGGGAATTCTAAGAGTTTCATGTGCATTAACTCAGTCCAACCCCTAAAAGCTCAATGGATGTGAACTGTCCGGCGAATATTTGGGGGGAGCTATATCCTCTTACAGAAGAGGCTAAGAGGAAGCCTGCCTGGGGGCAGGCCCACTGGCAGAACTTTGGTGCGGTGTGAGAGCCGCCTTTCATAGGAAAACAGTTTGCGCTCCTGACTGGGCCACCTTTCACCCCTTGCTCAAGTAGCAGTCCGTTTGGTGAGGGTCAGGGATAAAGGGCTTATTCTTCCCCTCTCCAAGTGCAGGAGAGTCAGCCTTGGTGTGGGGAGTTGTTTCTCAAAATAGAACTTCCTCATGATTCTAGAGAGGCCCAGAGTCCATCACAGCTGAGATGGCCATCTGACAGAACCTTTGACTACTCATGCGCACGCGCACACACACAGACACACACACACACACACACACACACACACACACACACACACACACACACACACACACACACACACACACACACACACACGTGTGCCCACAAGTACCCCCTCACACACCTCTTTGAAGGGTGGGAACTGGGGACTTATCTCCAGTTTAACATCAGTAGCAACAGCATGTGATTTAACCCAGAAAATGGTAACTTCCTGTTATGGGCCCTCAACAAAAAGCGCCTTTATTCTGCACAGAGCTCCCTGGACCCCAGAGTTTGTGCCCAGCATGCTTAAGCACCCTGCATGAAACCGGATGTAAAGTGTGAAAGGTGAGGCTGGTGCCACAGGCCAGCCTCAGCCGCTCCCACCATGCTAAATAGAAGCTTCATTGGTGGCGTTAATCACTAGGCTGAGGCAGCGGGCACTTCAGCCTCTCGTCTTTCAATGGTCTCTTCACCACAGGGAAAACGAGTCACTGACTCATTTGCAATTAGCTGACCTAACGGGACAGATTTTTCCATGCTGGATTCTGTGGTAACAGGATTTTATTGTCCCATTAGGGATATTTTGAGCCAGTCTCATTTCCAGGCAATTACTCTTTTGAGTCTGTGACACAACCCCTGGGCACAGCTGCATCTAGGGTCCTCGATTAGGCACAAAAGCCACACTCTCTGGGGTTCTATGAGGAAGAGGCTCCAAGTCCCTACTGTGACATTTTTACCTACACTGGCCAAGGCAAGTGAGGCTCTGTCCACACCAGCGAGATGAGGCCTGGTCAGGGCCTGTAAGACCCTGTGCTGTGTAGGGGAGGAGGGAGCTTAAAGAAAGAGAAACAAAGACATTAAAGTATAATAGGGTGTCTTCCTCTCTTGTGTGATTCTGCGGTGGCAGGTTATGCCCAGTTTGCATCAGAGCGATGTGGGGGGAAATGCTACCCCAGCACTGGGTTTTATGCCAGTCTTTGTGCTAGCCTGCAGTGACTGTGGGCAGTGAGGATGCTTCACCTCACGAGTCCTGGTTTTCTTACGTAGATTCACAAGGTTGAATTATAGGATCGCTAAGCTTCTGTCTAGGGGTGACACCCTGGGTTTCAGTCACCAGATAGTGACTGGCATGCCAGGCATCATTCCAGATATCAGGGAATATGGTAGTGAACATGACAAAGCCATGCCAGGAGCTTATGAATAGAAGCCAGTGGAAACAGACAGCTAACAAGCAGGATGGTGAGCTCCTGACCGGAGAGGCAGAGGGTGGAGCATTTAGCTTCTTGAGATAGGATGTCCAGAAAAGTCTCTGAGGAGGTGACATTTGAGCGGAGACCTGAAGAAGGATGAAAAGGCAGGCGTGCAAGGAGCCTGGGGGTAGGGGTGGGAAACAAGTGTTCTAGGCAGAGGGAACAGGTAGGACAAATTCTCTGAGAGGGGAACCTTCTTGGCCCGCCATAGGATGGGAGAGGAGGCCTCTGTGCCAGGGAGAGCACTATGAGGTGAGGGGACGTGTGCAGGGAGCTTACCTGAGAGTATATCAGGAGGGGGAGCAATCTTTTGGAAAAACATTAGAGACTGTCTTATAATAACATTTCTCAATGTTAGCTGTTTGATACCTGGGATCTTGTTTTCTTGGACAGGGCCAAATCCTACGATGGTCTCAGGCCTGAGGGTTCACCATGGCTGCCATACGAACAGCATTCTGTAGATTCCCATAATGGGCACATGGATGCACTTAAGCATCTTTGATCGGATTTGGGGATATGAAAGCCTTGGTATGCTGTCCACAGTCTCCTTGGCAACCACCCTGGGTACCTTCTCCCTTGAGTTCCCAGACACCACCTGCACGCTTCTCTCCCTCCTTCCTACCTGTTCTTTTCACTGTGAAGTGGCTGCCGTTTCTGTGTAAGGCATGCCGTCCCGTGTAAGAGAGAGTCCTGGCTACTAGAAGTTGGAGCCCTCTTTCTTGACCTATGAATACCTGTTTCCCTTTGCCTGCTTTGGGCCTGACAGCCTTCCCCTGCTTCCTTCGGGCGCCTAGTCAAAGGCAGAATGGTTCCCTTTGGCCCCCTCGACTATGGGGAACAGCCATTGTTGTCATCACCCCTTCTCTCAGCTGTCTAGGCTTCAGCCTGTCTGTCTCCCTCCCAGGAGGCAGCTTCCCACCTAATCCCTCGGGGCTCCACTCTCCAACTGTCAGGGAAGACAGATGGGGAGCAGAAGAATTCATACATTCGCACACACTCTCTCCCCTACTCGCTGCCCTTGCCACCCTTGTTGACTGGCTCCTGTCCTGGTTGGGGTGGCCCTAACGTAGCCCCGCGAGGAAATCTTTGTGCCGACTGGCCTGGCTGGCAAACCGGGAGCTCTCAAAGAGAGCCCAGAGCTCCTCCCCTTCCTCCCCTGTGATTGCACTAAAAGGGGCTTATTTGCATAGCTGTCTTGGAAACAGAGAAGAATGTAGAAGAAGAAGCACTTCAGAGGCACTTCTCTTATTCCTAATTCTTTCTAGAACTGCTTCCCCTCCTCTGTCCTATACAAAAGCACCCCTCCCATCCCCTCTCAATTGGCTTATCTGGACTCCTTCCTCCACATTCACACCAAGCCCAACAATTTACCATTTCCTACTTGTGCATCTTTCAGAACTTCAGTGAATGTGAACCCAAAAGAGAGATGTTCTCTAAATGATAGGCACTAATAATAACCTTTGAAGCTGTTGGCTTGCTTCCTCTTCAAATGCCTGCTTTTAGGCTGCAGTTCATAATTGAATTCAACTGTAAAATGCTATTTTTAATAATGTCACTGTGGTTTACTTGGTAGTGTTGTTCTCTTGGGTTGATGGAGTGGGACCTAGCACATCTCCATAACTAATGGTAAAATTCACAACCATACATCCATATATCCATATCTATTTGGACATGCTGTTACTTGTTTCTCTCTCTCTCTCCCCCTCTCCCTCTCTCCCCCTTCCTCCCTCCCTCTCTCCCCCTTCCTCCCTCCCTCTCTCCCTCCCCCCCTGTATTCCCAGTGGGGCTGTTCCTTCTTTTGGATTTGACTTCCCCAAATATTCCACATTAAGAGCACAAAATCAATATTACTACTTGAGGGAACACCAGCCCTACTCTCGATTTGAAGTCCTTTGCCTTTTTCCTGTTGGTTACTTCCTAGACCAAGGTTCCATCTTTCAGGAGTTCACTGATTACTTCCTATCAACTTCCATTAATAGCATCTTAAGAAATTTAACTTAACTTGTAAATATGACCCATATTGTGTATATGCAACTTCCAAGCTAATTTTAACTTTGTGGAATTTCTTTCCCCTCAACAAGTACCCTTTCAATAGCCCCACTTCCCGGATGGAACCCTGTTTGATGAGCAGTACTCCCAGACTGCATCCTACCCCAGTCACCCCCCGATGGCCAGAGGTGCCCACAGCCAACACGTGCTACACAAGCCCGTCTGTGCATTCCACAAGGTACGGAAACTCTAGTGACATGTATACACCCCTGACCACGCGCAGGAATTCTGAGTACGAGCACATGCAACACTTTCCTGGCTTTGCTTACATCAACGGAGAGGCCTCCACAGGATGGGCTAAATGACTGCTATCACAGGAATCCATATTTAATATTAATAATAATTATTAATAATAAACCCAACAACCCACCCCCAGAAGACTTTATCTCTACACATCATAACTCGTGGACTATTCCTAAGTGTCCATTTTCCTAATGAATGTGAGTCTGGGATTCAGTGTGGGATGAATAAACTTTAGTTCAGAAACAGGACTCACTAAAAGTCAGTGAGATTGGGTTCCTGTAGCCAAGCCAGACTTGACTGTTTCTATAGAGCACTATTTTGGGCAGGCCAATCTGTGCCTTTTCCCTCTGTTCCACGACTTTGCTTTGTGTTGGCAAACACTCCCTGTAAGCTACTTATTTTCCTGTTGACAAAAGCTCATTAGTCTTGATGGATACTAGAGACAGAGTCTGGTTTGTGTTCTTGGATGGGCACATAATTTACCAAGAGCATTCACCTTGCCATCTGTCATCTTACTATACAACGAACAGCCCTCAGGTATGTTCTACGCATCCCTTCTTCCTGGTGGTGCCGTCACTGCTTCCTGGAACACCGGGGCTAAATGCTGGTGTCTGGAAGACTCTAGATCCCCTGTTATTACACTCATGTTATTCACAGTACCTGCATTGTCTTGGAATGTAAGCACTGTCTAGAGGGAAGGAAGAGGCCTGTTCTGTATGCCTTAAGTTGATTGAGGTTTGTAGGGGACCGGTTCTTCTACATACAAGTATTTGTCCTAAGTTTGCACAATGGCTAGTGTCAGCAAAAGGCAGGAGAGGGGCTTTTAAAATTCTGTGAGAATGTGGATGTATGGTATTGAGTATCACACTCAGCTCTGCTGTATTAACTCTGTGAAACCAGATGGACCAAACATTAACTTACCAAGCACCAAGCGTGAAAATGACTTTCGTGGTTCCTTCATAAGACCGTAATAATTTCCGACACTTTGATAGAAAAAAATTTTTTTCAAAGCTGTGCCTTTGAGCCTATACTATACTGTGTATGTGTGGAAATAAAAATGTATTGTACTTTCGGAAACTTTTTTCGTAGGCATTTTTCTGTCAGATTGGTAGCAATTTGTGAGGTTTGTTAGAGATTAACATAGGTTTTCTTTCTGTATTATAAAATGCACCAAGCAATTATGGTGGACCTATTACCCTATGGGTAAGAAATAAATGGAGATATGACATCGGATGTTTCAGCAGTTGTTCTGTAAATAAAATCTTTGATCACACCACTCAGTGTGATAATCATGTCTACAGCTAAAATGGAAATAGTTTTTTCTGTACAGTTGTGCAAGATATGAATGGTTTCACACTCAAATAAAAAGTATTGAAATGACCTGCTTTCTTCATTTTCATTCTGCATTTGACACGACTTCTGTGTGTGTGTGTGTGTGTGTGTGTGTGTGAGAGAGAGAGAGAGACAGAGAGAGAGAGAGAGAGAGAGAGCATTCTGAATACTCAGGATGTAAATAGGCAAAACAAAACTAAGTGGTCTTATCTGGTGGTTCTTATCCACTTCTCCCATCGTCTTGTCATAAAGCAATCATTAAAATTTGGATAGGCCACACATCCAGTCCTTGAATGATTTAGTATCTACAGCCTAGTTGAGGTCTGTAAGGGACCAGTTCTACATACAAGGATTTGTCTTAAGTTTGCACAATGGCTAGCGTCAGCAAAGGACAGGAGCCTTTCAGCTCTTACAGGGAATATTATTCTTCAATACCAGCATCATTAAGAGGTCCCCTGGTCCTTAGTTCATTATGCTTTAATGATCTGTGGGTGTAAAGATACTTGAAGTGCAGTGCTTTAAATACTAATAAACTTCTGGAACAGAACAGTAACATTACTGAATATTAAGTATCAAAAAGTCCTTCTCCAGCATTGCATTTTGATTCTAGGATTGAGGAGCGAGGATATAGAGGCAAGATGACTGTTTTGTCCAAACGTTAAAGAGTAGGATCTATGAGAAATTCAGAGCCACAGATTTCCAGAAATGGCAGCAGTGACTATTTTAACTAAAAGGCAAGAGAATTTGACAACTCGATTTGCATGTTGAAAGATTTATTTTTAAAGCCAAGCTCTTACTTGCTATTACATAACATATTTATACCTAAGAATGATTTTAGGATTAAAATGATATATTTTACCCAGCATCCCCTTAAAAATATTTCACTATGTTGGGGCACCTGAGCGGCTCAGTTGGTTAGGCATGCAACTTCGGCTCAGGTCATGGTCTCGTGGTCCATGGGTTCAAGCCCCACATCGGGCTCTGTGCTGATAGCTCAGACCTGGAGCCTGCTGCAGATTCTGTATCCCTCTTTCTCTAACCCTCCCCTCTCGGGCACACTCTCTCTCTCTCTCTCTCTCAAAAATAAAATAAAACATTAAAAAATTTAAAAAAAATTTCACTGTGTTGTTCAACAAAAAGAAAGTAGATGTTGGATTTCACTCCCGGAAGATAAATTAGTTTGATCTCTTGGCCACAGTGCATTAGTTGGCCCTGAATGAGGAAAGTGGGAGGGGGGGTGCAGGGGGAGGGGGGCAGAAGGAAGAAGAAGAAAATGTCAGATTCAGTCACTGCATAACATGAACCATACCTGTTGCTCTCATACAGTTCAAAGCTAGTGCTTCATAAAGGAAAGGATGTAGTAAGTCTGACTTTTGACTTTCGAGACACAAAAAGAAGAAGCAATTGCCCAATTGTCTAGCCAGGTAGCAGCAGCACATAACACTCCTGCACAAACAACAGCCACAAGGTCATTAAATGTACAGATCTTTAGGCAAAAATAGTCACAGTCAACAAGGGCTGAGTCCCAGAGAATAGAGTGGACATTCCAACAACTTTGCAGGGGAGAGAATGTGTGCCTCCTGCTCGCAGCACAGCAGAGAACTGGGGGTCAGCACTGTAGGAAGAGGGAAGCTTTTGATGAGGACGAGTGGTCCCCGGGCGCACTCTCCAGAACACAAGGTGCCCATGTCTTGGGAGTTGAGTGTGTTACCTGTGTTCCCAATTGTTCTAAACCTTCCATTTCAGAATGGAGAAGGATCTGATTAGGAAAAGACAACAGCTGCTGTGAACTCAGGACTCAAATGCACCTTCTCTGCCTCTGATGGTTCCTTGCCAGTCACCAGAATGGGAATGGGCAAGGTTGGCAGCTGGGAGTAGGGCCAGTCACTTGTCAGAGGAAGAACAGAGGAGTCTTGGCAATAAAGGGACACTCCCCTCCTTAGGACTCTTTCTGAAAAGGACTCTGCCAGCTTGAAACTGGCTGAAGTTGTGAACAGCAGCCGGGATGGCTCACCCACGTTGCAAGCCTGTGGCGTCCTAGGCATCCATCCTGCTGTGTCCTTTTGTCAGGCCACTAGTACACCCCAGGTCTGGGAAGAAAGGGAATCTGTGGCCCCTCTGAGACTGCAGCCCAGTCAGAGACCAATCAAACGTGTGGCATTAGGTAAGCCCAACCCAGATGGGGAGAGGGACTGAAATCGTGGAAAGAGAACTGAGAGGGAGTCTTGGCTTCACCACCATGTGACCTTGGAGGAGTCCAGAGTGAGGACCTCAGGCGGCGATGTTCTAGAACTATGACATCCCAAATCGTGGCCTGTGTGCTGCTGCTGGAGCGGGGCCGGCAGATCTGGGTGAGGAGGGCGGACAGCTTAGGGGAAACAAAGAATGGACTGGCAGCTGGGCAGTGATTCAGAGGCAGCCACAGGAGAGAGGACGACGGCTCCACCAGCTGGTGCTCAAAAACAGCCCGAGGTTTGTGCCCACGAGTGCGGCCCGTATACCTGCCCCCCGCCACCGAGCGAGCCGTACCCCCTGCCTCAGAGCCAGCCCCACTCTCTCATGATAGTGGTCTTCTGCTATTTTCCTTGCCTCCAGCTTTGTCCTTCACGTTTGCTTTAAAGTGACATCAATCACAATGTCCGAAGTGACTCGGGCCATGGAAAGAGCAAAAACAAACAGGCTGTTTGTCCCAACTACTTACATCTCTTAAAGGCCGAATCACAAGATTTAAAAAAATTAAATGCTGGGAAGGAATGGTACAAATACTCCCTTTTTATACAGGGAAAAGAAAGAGTGTGGGGAGTGGGTTGATGTAGGTTTCCTGAGGCACAGAGTTCAGACTTAGACAAGGGCCAAAAGTATGCAAATCATCACCACTGGGAAGCTTAAGAGAAAAAGATGGAGATACTCATTGGCTTCAAAGTGAGGTAGCACTGGGATTAAATCTTGGTTCCACCAAAGATGTTGTGGAAGGGACATTCCTGCTCTCAGTAGGATTGGATTTCAGTGGTTCTCAACTCTGGCTGCCCATGAGTGTTACCCTGTCAACTTTAAAAAAAAATACTGATGCCCGGGTCCCCCCACAGTACACAATGGGCCTGGCATGTGACCTGCCTCCAGTATCAGTAGCTTTCAAGCTCCCCAGGTGATTCTAATATGTAGCCAAGGTTGAGAAACACAACCCCTTACACCTCGAAGTTCTGAGATCCAGGGGCTGCTATTCCCTGAGTAGCTTTTGCCCAGGGTTCCAGTCTGTCCAGAGTGGAGAAGAGTGCCACTCCCCCCTCCCCACCCCAGTCTACACTGTTTGGTTTCCCCCTCCACCGCAGCTGACAAAGCTTTCCCTAAGGGCACTGTTTTGTTTGCCCTTCAGCCCAGCCCACCTCCCTACCACTCTGCCGCCTGCCCTCCTAACCTGGACCTTCTCTGCTTCAGTTCCTTGGCAGCCTCCCAAGCTGAGCCAGCTTGGACACAGCCCCTGTGGTTTCCTCTTCTTCCAAGGAGGTCAGAACCTTTTGTGCTTCGTCAGCCTCCTCCCTGAAGCTCTTCCCCCCATCCCTCTCTCTGCACCTCACCCCCCCAGCCTTCTCACCCCCATATTTTGCTGCTGCTAGTGTAGGTGAGACGGAAGACGTGGGCCCCAAGAGTTGAGAAAGGAGCTGTTGCTAGGAAAGGAGTGTGGGTGAAGAGAGGTGGTGGGTGGGAGAAATAGGGCTCCCCGGTTGTATTC